ACAGTTCAAATGCGACGTTCGGGGATGTGAGAGTCATTTCAAACTTCAGAAGACCCTTAATCGTCACCTGGCAAGCCATTCAGGGGAGAGGCCTCATGTTTGCTGGGTACCTAGCTGCCAACGCGGCTTCTTGCGTCGCGATAACCTCAAAGCCCACTATACAACACACGGGAAACGTAGGGGCCGCAATCGATATGTGGCTACCCTGGATAAGACAGCACCTGTCTATAACCCTGAATTCTGTGGGCAGCTAACGCCTGAAGGATGGCCACTGGACTACGTTGGCCAAGATTGACCCTAGTGTTTGAGATGTATGATGGTGCTAAAGTGTCAACTTTTCTATTATCATGGACGAGAAACAACAGGATAGGCTTGGATACAGTTGAAATTTGTTTCACTCTAGGGCTGTTCTTTTTCGTGCTACGAACCTACGGATCCCTCAACCACAGCATACTAGTAACCCCCTATCCGATTTTCTACGAACCGATTCGACATGTGTAGCATTCAGATGAGCAGAGCCAATACAAATAATGCTTACCGAGTTCAAAGCTATTCACATCGTTTGGTAGTCGCAATATCATATGAATCACCATGGAGAACGAGGCCAGCGTGGTCCAGGGTCTCGGATAAAGAATATAGAGGTTAAAGAGCAATACCCAACAGCTGGGCTACGACGAAGCCGACAATGTAATTGTGGCTGCAGGTCACCCACTATCGGTTGTTATCGTGTAATATATACTAGCCACGAATAGCTTTCTGCGAATGGCGGAGCTAGTGACCAGTTGGAGAGATTCCTGATGTGCAAGACAGAATTTACGAGTAGGTCGTCTGATTCGCCGGCTGAGTCCCAGTCTGACGGTATAGAGCGGCCTTGTATGGCCAATTCACCGATAGGTCACTTCTTCAAGGAATATACCAACTTTCAGGTAGATAGTCCTAGGGTGGTGTAGCAAGCTGGCCCCGTGTGGGCGACCAGGGGACACAGTTCATTGTACAAGCTCGATGCGCTTGGAGGAGCTATGCCAGACACGGCTTAAGCCACTCGGGGATCTAGATGTAGATCTTCTGCGTAGGCAATAATCGTCAATATTTGAGAAGAAATAGGTTATATAGCAGTACAACCAGCTCTAGCACTCATGAGATACTGGAAGAGTACGTTAGGAATCAGCGAGCCCTCTTGAGACCGGTGGCAGGCAAGGCATTCTTTTCGGGGCTTAGCAGTGAATAGACGCTGGGTAAGGCCGCTAAGTCAGCGTGTGTCGGACCGTTCTTTGTACTAAACCTTCCATCGATCGTGACAAAGTTCTGTCCAGTGTACATGTCGGCCCGATGTTTTGGACGGGGATACGGGGTACAGATGGGCCCGGTCAGATGGCAAATGCATTTGAGGGTTTACCCTGGAGATGTAGCAGTACGGACCGCTGTGCCCATTGTGTGTGACCCGTGAGGAATATGACTCTCACCATGGTTATCCAGGTCTTGACAGCTTAAAACTGTAAGAGTACCATCTGTTATTTCATACCACATTCTTTTGGCTAACAAAACTACACCCTAATAAAAGCGAAAGAAGCGACAATCTCCCCAGGCTGGAGGCCAGTAGATTCCCTAATGATTTATAGCAATCTCGATTAATCTTCCCCACATCCTGAAACGAAGGCCATCCAAACGTCCGGATTGTCATGAACAGCGGGAAGAGGAAGAATTGCCCCTGTTAGAAAGAATCCTGAGCATTTTAGGTACTTTCAACTGCTTTTGTCTTTTTTGAATGAGAGGGCCGTCGTGTCTGAGAATGTTTATCTCAGTGGGTCAGATCATGACTACGGTGCGGTTCAGAGTCTCCAGGTAGGGGAAAGCCCCTGCCTGTAATCAAGGGTTTAGCAAATAAACGCTAAACCATAGGTGTCAGATTATACTCACTCCGACAAGAGCGACATGGGCAATATTGATCTGCGCATCCCCAGCAGGAATCAAGTTGGGAACTGTGATAGTGAAGTTCTGATAGGGAGGCTGGCTAGCCTCGTAGTACTGAGGATCGAAGTCCCCATGGTAAAGAATAGCACCCATAACCTCACCTGCAGGTCGACAAGCAGTGGATACGCAGGACGAAATTCCAATCATAACAGCAATCTCGGTAGAGCCTGTTAAGGAGTTCTAGTCGACATGTTAGAATAGTTAGACATTTGCAGTTTGAGTCTGTATTAGAGGCAACATACAGGACGCTTAACCTGGATGACCACGTTGCTGCCTTTGGTGAGGTTCTGACCAGCGGTAGGAAGGCCGATGATGGAATTCTGTGCTAAAGAGACACCAGCGAATGCGGCTAGGGAAACAATGGACTTCATGGTGGGAATAGAGTGTAAGACAATGTAGACGGAGTAATATATTGATCAGGGCTGGAGATGGGCAAAACTGCGATAAGAAGAGGCGAATCTACAGGGGGCACCTGTAAGATGCTTATCTCAGGAGGGCTTCAAAGACGGAGCGTGATTTTGCGAGCGTTGAATGTTATACCCGTACTGTGTTCATGATGAGTGTTGTCGTGATTCGCTAAAACTCCGTAAGACTTTTTGGAAGTGAGGGGCGTAAAACTGACCAGGTCATGTTCCCTAATAGTATTGTTATCTCAACGGCTAGAGCCCACAGCACGGGATTCACTAGGTTCCATTTCCTCGCCAAATTTTCCATAGATTTTCTTTTCGGCCGAGGGCTATTATTTCCCTCAATAGAACATCAACTCAAGTCATTTTAATCGCCGTTGACCCCCGGGGAGATGGTGAGGTGGTGAGGTGGTGAGGTGGTGAAGAGAGAAAGTACCGCCGCAGAGCTCAAGGAGTGCATTGGTTTGAAAAAGGTTATCTGTAATTTTACCGTTAGATACGTAAACGTTTGCGGGCAAGAAGAATAACATTTGGATTTTTCCGATATCTATTTGCGTCGTCTCCTAAAGACCAGCGATGGTCTTAGACGAGGCTCATGCAACCACTAGTGGATTTTCGTTGGGTTTGGTGACGGGGTGCCAACGGTTCACGGCCGTTGATGCATCTAACGCATTCGAGAACTTAGCATCTGGCTATAAATCCCCCCTAGTTTGTCCTGACCTTTTGTAATCAGAGAGAAATCTGCTCAGCCTCCAGCTTTCCATCCCTCCCAACCCTCGTTAAATCGCTACTTTATACACCTCTGTATTTTTTCTACAGCGGCTTCGACAGCGAGTTTTCGACGGATATGAATGACTCGGCCAAAAATGGTCTGTATCCGTTCCCTCGATAGCTATTTTGTCCTAACATTATTACACTACGTTTTGGATCCGCCCTTTACGCTATCTAGCATGAATGTTCTGGCATACCGATACCGCCTCCCTGTCTCGCAGTGACCCTGATGATCCGCGGCAGGTTCTTAACAAAGTTGACCTTGCAGGGTTTGAAACTCAAGGGTCTTCCACGACCGAATGCGATTTTTACCCCAATCTCGACAGACTGTCCGGCTTCAAGCGGACGGGTCCAAATCTTCTGTCCATCTCTACTCAAGCTAGCGACATTTCCTCTAGATACCAGCGTTAAGTTTTCCCGCAAGAGGCGCACTGGATAGGGTATGTGTTGTGATATGAGGCTGGTGCAGATCAGGAACAAACCTGCACCATCGGAATTAGCTCCCGATGTGTCTAGATGAAGAAGCAAGTCGATTGGAAATTAACTTGGAGCTTATGCTGTATATATAGCCTCATATATTCCATCTGGAAGATAAATGAATATCATCCCTCTGAACTACAACAGTATGGTTAGCACGGTTTTATCGGACATTTGGCGAGACTATAGGAGAGAAACTGTTCTTCCCGCCTTGGGTTGAAACGGCCTCAGGAATCTTTGTCAGGCACGCGGGCAGCTACTAGACATAATCCCCTGGCACGATGTTGGTGCAATATAGGGGTTAGCTTCCGCTTGCCCCTTACGGCCTCTTATGGAACCTCTACAATATTCGAGTCAATCGATCCTTCCTCCGCTAGCTACGCTGGAGAAGTCTGTATTCGACTAATATTGTGACAGACAGATGCTGAAGCCCAGCAAAACATGTGACCGACAATCACAATGATGACGGAATCGGCATTACAGATGTCCCGTCTGCGTCCGACGCACTTGGCTGATTCTGTCTACCAAAGATGGTAATATGACCTAATGTGAGCCTCGTGAGATCAGTTCGCCATGTTCGGCGAAACACTGTCTATAGCATATTTGACCACAAAGCGGCGCTCATCAATCTCCCACCCGCGCGGTACCTTCGCGGCAACTTGTGCACATGGCAGTAGGTTAGCTGGTTATTGGCTGGGTGGCTCTCCACAGGTGCCCGTCATTAGATATTTTGGATTATAAGCATAAACATTACAGCCATACACATAACTTCAAGTTCGCAGAGCTTCATTGGGAAGCACAAGTGAAACTGACACTAATGCAGAAGGTAGATGTCGGTCTTGACCCCGCCTAATCGAGTAGTTCTCGCGCGCTTTTCCGGTTCTGCTGAATGCCTGCGAGAATGTAAAACTCTGGATTCTGTGTCAATGACGGGTCAGTTGCATTCTGGGTGGTGCTATGTTGTCCTGCCTAGTACGACCTACGAGGATGCCTGATGATCTCTACTGAAGTTAACAGCTGCCAAAGGTGGGCATTAAGGAGCCGAAGTCACAGCTAAACTTGCCTTTGGCTTAGCCACAGCATGCGCAGGGCTCCGTGAGCCTGCCTAATATTTGTATGTTTTTATTCATTAAACGCAGTGTCCTCGTCCCCCTCTCGTAAAACCTTTCGTGATCTTTTCTGTTCAGGTGTTAAGTAACGGGAAGCGAGGTTTTCCATATATATCGATCCTCAACAGCGTAGGTCTCCCCAGCCCACTAGTATTAGGGATAAGTTGCCCTTACCTTCTAGATGATGCTCCAGAAATATATATCTGCTGCATCCCACACTCGATGGAGAAGTACGGGCGCACTAATTCTAGCGAAACAAAGATAACTATAAATTGCTTCCTTCCGACCGCACTAAATCGATGTATGGGAGTTTTGATCTTATGGCCTGAGCATTATGGACCAAAGTGGTTTCGGAAGCCACTGCAGACCAGTCACCAGAGGTCAAATGATTGCCGAACATAGCCGTGGACTTTATAACGTCGAGCAGTAATTTGGATGTAATTAAAGTTGTGTCGGGCGTCATTAGCGGGTGCATGTCCCGTGCCTCGTGGTACATGAGCTCCAGCCCAGAACGTATGACGTACTTGACACGTCCGCTTAGCTCCCTATTGCTTTTAAGAGCATCAAATACATAATTGCTCTCCCCTTGGCCCATGAAATTATAAGGTTTGTGGGACTTTTCGAGCTTGCCAGGTGATTGGGGTTCTGGATCGAGGCGCAGTTGAGGTTTATCGCCACTTGAAAACATGGCGACAAACACTAACAAACACACTCACTCTGAGGCTGGGATCATGAATGCCTTTTCAATTTTCTGTTTCGATATGATTTTATCAATCGGACTGAACAAATCAAAAGACAAAGTTTGATTTACAGAGGAAACAACGCTACATTCCAGCAAGTCCCAAGAGCGCCAGTGTGCCGGTATCAACGCTCACCTGTGTATTAACGTTTGGCCAATTCGGTATGTTCTCGTTTAGTTCTGCTAGCGCTTGGCTTACGTAGTAAATGTTTGTGGTCTTCCATATTGTAGCCTTGCTTCTACATGGGGCTCCCTGAGCATGAAATCCGGGATCGGGAAGATCATAATCGTGGCACCGCCTTTTACCACCACCTACCCGGTGTTGGTGGCCCCCACCGGATCCCATATTCTCACCGGATCCCAGATTTTCAATTTTGTATCAACTTCCTACCCATTTTATACCACCCCACGATGTCAGATCAAATTGAAGATATTGAAATGAGAACTCTACAGGCCGCAGAAGCCTATAAGAAAAGCAATAAGCCCAATTTAGCTAAATTGGCGCGGGAATTTGCGGTTCCAATTGATCGACTACGCGGTCGCGTTCACGGTCGGAAGTCCAATTCGACTATTGCTAGCCAAGGCAAGGCATTGAGTTTAATTCAAGAAAAAGCATTGATTTCTTGGATCCAAACCCTACGCCATTCATATACTACAAATAGCCCAGAGCGTATTGAGCGATCTGCAAACCAGCTTTTAAAGACTGCTGGTTCCGACCGGCAGGTTGGCCACAACTGGGTATACCGTTTCATCAAGCGCCTCCCACCAGACATCCCATATATTAGCCTAAAACCTACTGAAAAAGTAAGGTTTGAAAGCGAGAACTATGGTGAATTACTCCTTTGGTTTAATAGTCTTCGAAAGGTTATAGATCAATATGGTTTTCAAAAGAATGAGATCTTCAATTGGGATGAAACTGGCTACCAAATTGGCCAAGGAAAGCGTCAAAAGGTTATTGCTCCATGCGGTGCATATGCAAATCCTACCGGCGGTCAAAATGAGTCTATTACCGGCATTGAATGTATTGCTGCCGATGGTTGGGTTATGCTACCATGGTTCCTACCTAAGGGTAGTAACCATATAGCAGAGTGGTATAAAAATATCACTATCCCAGATTTTCGAATTAAGCCTACACCAAATGGCTGGATCAATAACGAAACTGCATTTCAATGGCTTTGTTCATTTCACGAAGCGTCAATTTCTCGTGTTAATAAAGGCAGGCCAAGGCTTCTTCTTATGGATAATCATGGTTCTCATACTACCATTGAATTTACTACCTTTTGTAAGGAGAAATTCATTATTCCATTTTACTTTCTACCCCATACAACACATCTCTGCCAGCCGCTAGATGGTCAAGCTTTTCAATGCTTAAAACATTACTTTCGTTCCGCCAATAACGAAGTTATGATGTGGGGTGGAAGTGTTACTAGAAAGGAAGACTTTTTCAGGATGATCCACGATATTCGGAAGAAAGCATTTACCAACCGGGTAATTCGATCTTCATTTGAATCTAGGGGTATTTACCCTTTCAATCCAGAGATTGTTCTTACTCCTTTACGCCGGGAAGATGAAGCAGAGGGTGGTATAATACGCATTATTACCCCCTCCCCCCCGCCTGAGATCCTAAGCTCAGTCACCAATTCGCCCCCAGATACCATTCCTCGGGTTAATAAGCTTAATGCTAAGCTTATTAAGCATCTCAAATCTCAAAATCAGCAAGCGAGACGGCATATCCAGCGTAGTATGGATGCAAATACACTTCTATCCCAACAGCTGGATCTAGTAAAGGCATCTTTAAAGAAGTCTCAATCCCACCAGAAAGCTAGAAATCAACCGAGAAGTAGGAAATCGATTCTTGGAGCTTCTAATTCAGTCCTATCTCCTATATCTGCAAATAGGATGATAGCAAAAAGGGATGAGGCTGATACTAAGAAGCTCCAGAGGAAGCATGCCAAGCAAGCCAAGGAATTGGAAGATGAACAGCAGGCCCAAAAGGCAAGGGATTTAGCTGAGGCTGAGCATGAAGCATCAATGGCGGCAAGAGATAGTAATAGTGGAAATTGGTATATAGATAGTCATGGTGGTTATTTGTAAATAGTGTGTTGAATGCATTTTTAATTGAAAATCTGGGATCCGGTGAGAATATGGGATCCGGTGGGGCCCACCAACACCGGGTAGGTGGTGGTAAAAGGCGGTGCCACGATTACTGGATATCCTGTCCAAATTCTCTTGGCATTTGTGCTGGCCTGCAAGCCTGTGAAGGCTGGCCCATGGACGACAGTTTTCTCAACCCTGAAAGGCTTCCTGGGCACAATTGCACAGCCCCCTACTAGAAGCATTATAAGTGAACAATAGCTTGATACATGAAACGGCTCCCTCTCATGGGAGGTGAATCATCTCTATTGATCAATCTACTAGAGGCATAACGGTCCTGCAAAATACAATTATGGTTTCTTCTCGTGACAATACGTATCAGCAGCCCTCAACCGATCTATCCTCTTTGGGGACAGACTCCGTTGATGAAGGAGCTATCGAGCCTAAAAATGCATCAGCACAAGGTGATCTGATACCAGTTCCCTGTCAGCGGTCGTCCTTATCGGCTTTATCACCTGCAGCGCCAACGGCACGTCTAGAACAAATCAATCCAAACCATGCCCCGTCTTCATCTCACTCACTTGATGATGCGAGCGAAAAGCATGATACACTCCTACCGGTGCTCCCTCAAGCCTTACATCGGTCTTCGCCATCGATTGATGACGATACCCTGCGTCCGCGCTCGCAGTCGATCGCATCTACTGAGCGTTCAATGGCCCATTCCATGACTCTTTCGGATTTATATTCAGCTCAGACTTCCAAATTTTACTGTGATGACGTGTCGCTGTTAGAAGCGGTGACGCTGGATTCTCAGGATGATGCCGGTTTCCATGTTGACGAATGCCCTTTTGCTTTTTCACCTGGACAGCTCAACAAATTGCAAAATCCGAAGTCACTCGCAGCATTCTTCGTTGTTGGTGGGTTGGAAGGGCTAAGAAAAGGACTACGAACGGACCTTGATGCCGGTCTATCCGTCGACGAGGGTCGATTGGATGGTTTCATAGACCTTCAGCAAGCAATTTCACACATGTACGATGGGCCAACCTGTCTCGTTGAATCAAAACTAGACGGTAACCCAACAGGGGGAGTGGCTGCAACAACCAACAATACATCGAGTTTCGAGGACCGCATACGCATTTTTTCTGAGAACAAATTACCAGCTCGAAAGTCAGTTGGGGTTTTCAAGCTATTTTGGATAGCATATAACGATAAAATCATCATTCTCTTGACCATAGCCGCTGTCATCTCATTATCTTTAGGGATCTACGAATCGGTAGATGCCGGCACGGGCGTGGAGTGGGTGGAAGGGGTTGCCATTTGCGTGGCAATCTTAATTGTGACTGTCGTCACAGCTGCTAATGACTGGCAAAAGGAGAAACAGTTTGCAAAACTCAATAAACGAGTAAGTTAATTGGCTTGTCTTTAGGTTATGTTGGTTATCTGATTTTCCAATCAGAACAACGACCGCGATGTCAAAGCTATTCGCTCCGGAAAGTCGGTAATGATATCGATATATGATATTATGGTGGGCGACGTGCTACACCTTGAGCCTGGTGACTCTATTCCAGCTGACGGGGTCTTGATATCGGGGTATGCTGTTAAATGCGACGAATCGTCAGTCACCGGCGAATCAGATCAGGTAAAGAAGACGAATGGACATAGGGTATGGCGGTGTATCACTGAAGGCCGTGCCAATAAAACGCTTGACCCATTTTTGGTTTCTGGCAGCAAAGTACTGGAAGGCGTGGGGACCTATCTGGTGACTGGTGTTGGACCCTTCTCCACGTACGGTCGACTCATGCTATCTTTACAAGTCTCGAACGATCCAACACCGCTCCAGGTCAAACTCGGCCATCTGGCCAATTGGATCGGATATTTGGGATCAGCGTAAGGATTGAACTTTCTGTATATGAAAGGAAGGTGCTCACAATGAACCATAGTGCCGCTATCATTCTCTTTCTTGTCCTAGTGTTTCAGTTCATCGCCGATCTTCCCAATCACCCTGATCAGACCTCAACTGTCAAGGGTCAGCATTTTGTCGACATTTTAATCGTGGCGGTCACCGTTATTGTTGTCGCAGTACCAGGCAAGTACCTAGTCACGGAATTTAAGCTTTCCTTGTTTCTCATATCTTTTTAATTCTCATAGAGGGCCTTCCCCTCGCCGTGACACTCGCTTTGGCTTTTGCCACGACTCGCATGGTCAAGGAGAACAATCTGGTTCGCGTTTTACGAGCCTGCGAAACAATGGGAAATGCTACGGTGATATGCTCTGACAAGACAGGAACCTTGACCCAAAACAAGATGACCGTTGTCGCCGGTGTGTGGGGTTTAGATCACAGCTTCAGCCGAATGCCGGAGGATGAGGCTAACTCGGTGAATATCGCATCCGCTTTTCAACAAATTACAGATCCGGCTCGAGATCTTATACTGAAGAGTATTGCCCTCAATTCTACCGCCTTCGAGGAAGGAGCGGGCGGGCAGCAAGAGTTCATCGGAAGCAAGACTGAAGTTGCCCTTCTCCAGTTAGCCTATGACTATTTGGGTATGGACCTTACACTAGAGCGTGAATCCGCCAAGACTACTACTGTCCAACTTTTTCCATTCGACTCGACCCGAAAATTCATGGGTCTCGTTTACCGGCTTCCTGGAGGAGAGTACCGTTTTCTTGTGAAGGGGGCCCCTGAGCTCATGATCGATGCGTGTTCTACGCAAATTACAGGAATAGCTTCTGCTAGCAACGGACTCCAAACGGAATCCCTCTCCGACGCTAAGCGAGATCAAATCCTTCAGATCATCAATCAATTCGCTACTGCGTCCCTTCGAACCATCGGGTTCGTATATAAGGACTACTTT